ATCTGTTAACCTGAGGTAGTTATGAAGACATCCAGTTGCTTTTATAATTCTTTCAACAGTTTCTGGAGTAGCACGAATGGGGCGTCGGAAGATTCTCCATCTTGCTGCTAGGATACTAAATGTATTTTCGATGGTACAACAAGCTCTTGATTGTCAATAATTGTAGATTTGCTTTTCCAAAATTAGGTGGCTACCAGGGTATGGTTTTATTAACCATTCCTTCAGTAGAAATATCTCATCACCGACTAAGGTATATGGAAGTTGAATGCCATTGACTGACTCTGGTTGTGGCAATGGATTAATTCTTGTTGAAATACTTGCCCAATATATGATTCACCAAAAATAGATGCATCATTATCTCTTCCATATCCGCCAATATCCACCATAGTGAAAGTATAATGAGCATCACAAACTGCTAATAACACCATGCTATGATAGTTCTTGTAGTTATAGAATGCAGACCCAGCATTGCTTGGACATTCTATACAGATGTGCTTGCCATCAATAGCTCCAATACAATGTGGATAGTTCAATTCTCTTTCATATTCCCTAGCAATGCATTTCCACTGTTCAATACTTGAAGAAGCTTTTAAGTATTTCTTTTTCAGTGCAAACCACAAAGCATCACAAGTGTCCCAAATTATTCTGCAAACTGTTGATCGACCAAGTCTGAATGAAGATGATTGAGTTTGCTGTGAGTCCCCTGTAGCAAGATACCTTAAACACACAGCAAGCATTTCTCCAGGAGATATACTTTGCCTTGAATGACATGTGTTCTTTGATAAGTAAGGCTGCACAAGTGACAATAGATGGTCAAATCGTTCTGGAGTCATTCGTAAAAATCTATAGATAAAAGGTACTGTAAAAGAGAAGGAAGATATTTTTGGCTATATGCATATTAATTTCATTTGGTAAAATTTAATGACAAAATGAATCTAACTAATTAAGTGACGAGTCCCACTTTTGGAAATGCTCCTCCCACCCTTAAAGGATGCTAATGTGAAATATGATGCTATATGTACTGCTAGTGTCGCCAGCCAATTAAACTCTACAAATGAGCGAATATGGGTTTTTACTGACCTGAAATAAAATTCCCTATCAGTTACCCTCATTTCTGACAACAGAGTTTGATAAAATCCCAACTTTTTTCTTTCCAAAAATATCTTCCTCACCCAAAACTTGTGCTTAGCACGTTTTCTCTGCTTTTTTCCTGCTATAATAACAATTAGTAGCACTGAGAGTGGAAGCACCCTTTTTCTGTTCACCATTTTGATATAACAATTAGTTAACTTTAATGTTATTAAAATTAATTTTTGTAAATTTATATGGAAACACCTGTATTACAACATTCAGGCAACAATTGCACAACTTGTACAATTATATGGCAACCAGGCTTTAGAGCTTCCCATTAGCATCCACGCGTTGGCCTTTTTGACTAGGAAAAGATCATCTTGTTCCTTAACATATCAGCAATCCATCAAGCATGACAAGAAGTTTGTAGGGAATTTCCCTTCCAAGTCACATGTCATCAAAGTCACTATAGTATTGTTACTATACGTGTTGTTAGGCATTTTAAAAAATTTCTTGTGACCTTTTATGACACCCCTTTTTGTCCCAAATTTTATTAATTGAACACCCGTGTACAGCTAGTTAAACTAGTAGGCATGGCCAATGATTATTAAATTGATACACGGAGTCAGATACTTCCATGAGTCGGATATTTTTTGGAGTCGGTTATTTCACATGGTCCACTTGGTTGAGAGTACTACTACTACAAAGTTCACTAGCTATACAATCTTTTGTTTTTAATTTATTGTATTACTTCAAGATGTTGTATAATAATAAATTTTAATTTTGAACAATGTTTATTGTTACTACAAAATAATTTTTTACTATTTCACAAGTTCTCATGGGCTGTACACTACAAAACATAGTAGACCTGCAAGGCATGACTAAAGCAGCTAACCAGCATTCTATGAGCCAAAGACATGCCTATATGTATGTCACATTACAACTATGGTATAAGTAGCCAAAGACATGCCTACATGTATCTAACATAGTGACTATGGTATAAATTCATTGTCCTTGCAATACAAAAATCACTACAAAGAGTAAGTATTAATGCTATGAGGTTTTTTACCCTGCCAGATATACAACTAACTCATTAAATTGGTGCTACCATGACATTCTCATGGTAAAAGATGTAGCACGGTAACAATGGCTTCATGAAAGTGGGACTCCTATAAGTAAACAGTCTCTGCTCTTTTGAGTTGCCTTGTGACATATAAAACTCTATAGTTGAAAAACTTAAAAATTTTCTCTTGTTTAATAACTGTAAAATTGTTGGAAGAGGTGGTGATTATAACTTGGCTTTGTAATTCATTACTTTCTTAACTTAATCCTTAAAACTAGCTACATAATTAGGTAATGGACTTCTGTCCTTTCAGCCATTCAGTGCTTACACCCAGCTAAAGAGCTTCACATACATTCTAAAAGTACCAACTAAAGGTTATGTACCATTGGCATATTTGTATGTACCATTGAAAATTTATGATTGCATAAATCAAACTATTTGAGTTATAACATTTAAGCAACACCATAAATTTTGTCATTGAATTTATTTGAAAAACTCCCAACAATATGTAGAATTTCAGCAATAAAAAATAGTGTATCAGTGTCAGTGCTTATTGTTATAGTAAGAATCATTAGCTGTAATGATTGCAACACCTTTCCACAAGATCAGAACAATATTATGTAGACGGAAGCCTATATGTAGGGTTGAGGTAGATTGTTCAAGATGGTGAACAAAATTAACATATAGTTTTGAAATGCTCATAACTCTTCTATTTCACCTTGTAGACCTTTATGAATGGCTTAGATGAACTCTCATTCACTGAGCAATTCTTCTGGTACCTTCAAAGTGGTCAAAAAATTTTCTGTATAATAGGGCCAAATTCAATTTTCTGCAAAATTCTTCAGACATTTTCTTCTTTTACCTTCTTCTATGTGCCGAACTATATTTTTAACTAGAGAAGTTGACTTTTACATCAGTTCTTGGAGTGCGGGTCAAAGACTACAAAGGTGCTTTCTGTATCTTGTATCATGGGAAGCCATAAGATGAAAGGCACCGCGTCGGGTTTATATCTGGTAGACGATCACTTCCGGTGCAATACACATATTTACCAGGATGTGACATAGCTATGATTAAAGGTGCTGACAGTGCAATATATATATTTCACCGGAAGTAATGCTTGGCTTGTTCAGTTGTGATAACAATGATAACAAAAAGTCATTTGTAAAACAGCAAAATATGTTATTAATAAAAGATTTTGTTAATAAACTGATATAATAGTAGTCTTTATTTCTGCAAAGATTGATCGAATTGCATGCCCATTATATTCCAGAATGGAGTCAGTCTTTGCGACGACCTTTTATCAACAAGTGTAGCTCCTACTAGTCAATTTGAGATGAATTCTGTACCTCTAGAAACATCAAAAGAGTATTATTTACTGCTAGTAACATTTTTACCACCACACCGCCATTGAGTAAGTACCTTCATATCTCTATTAGTGTCCAAGGGTTCAAACCTGTACTAATTTCTTCCATTTCATCAGCACTAATGAAGGCTAACCTTCATTGAGCGCTCTACACATTTTCATTCGCTTCTTTTGCTGCTTTTTCTCGTGGTTCTCCTTCTCCTTCAGCCATATTGGTCCTTTACAGTTGTACCATGTGCTACTGAGCATGCACATAACCTTTCCTTCTTATGGCTTCCCATTATACAAGCCATATAGAACATGACCTTTCCCTCGTGGGTGTATCAGATATACACTCAAATGATTTTCATAATCCCTCGGGCTACGCCCTCGGGGTTATGAATATCATTTTTGTGTATATCTGATACACCACTCGGGGTCATGTTCTATATATTACTTAATTCATATAAGATTATAAACTAGTTATTTGAGCATGATATCACCTCACCTTGAAATTAGATGCCATTTTGAAACATGATGCATGTGCTCAGAGTTGCTATAGTGACTGACTGACTGCACTGGGTGGGTATTTGCTCTGTTCTCTTTTTCTGCATACTTTTAAGTAGTTGACAGACTAAGTGAGTATCTGTTCTTTTAAAACCTAATAGATAAAATATATTGAAATAACCAACAAAATTAGGCTTCTTTTATCACAGAGCGCAATATAATCTTACAGAGCTGTCAGAGTGAAACAGTTTTACTGCTGCTTTGTTCTGACAAGATAGCATATCTGTACTAAAGCAAGACCACTAGAGTTCAGTGTGTTCTCTTATACTTCTGACATATATATTTTGATATATTTTTTCTCTTATGTTTTTCAGATAAGTCTTTGCAGTTAGTTTTACAATGATAAGCAGTAGTTTACTTGTACCTCCTGCATATATGTACTTGGTGTTATGGTATTTGTTGGTTGTTTTAATGTTAAGTGTTGTGCTGTAAGTTGTAAAAAAAGGAAGTAGAAATGGAAAAGTGACGTAACTGGGGCTAAATTTTAAAAAAAAATTTTGGTTATAAAAAGAAATTGGAAGGTTTTATGTCTAAAACAGGTCCTATGCTACAGCATACTACATCAGGCAGTGTCAAAAGCATAGCTAGAGTTGCATATACCACATAGCTGGAAATACATGGGCATCGCTGGGCTTGAAAGATTGGTAGGGCACTAGGTCCATGAAAATGGTGGAACTTTGTCGTGCGCAAAAAATTTTGCAGTATCTCATTAATATTCATGATGGGTGTGGTCAATTAATTTCTACATTATGAGTCAGTTGTTGGTGTGTGTGAAGAAGTAAGCAGTGATTGAGTCTTTCCTGGATAGTTATTAGATGAATTAACTTGAATTAATAACTAATTTTAATAAAAATGGCTACTGATCTTCAAAATATTGGTGGGGCAACTACCCTACCTGCCCCTTAGGCAGCGACGCCTCTGAAATATTTGCTGGAATTTAATTTTGCTGTTTGCTGTTGATCATAAAAGCGCACAATTGAATTATGCAAAGCATTGTAAGTAATAATTGTATCAACAGTACACGCCTACACCAGCAAAATTAAATTCTACAAACATTAAAATTAGCTATATGGGCACAAAATCGCAAAATATAATTCCCACAAACTTTTCCAGCTATACGGTATGGTAAGAAAAAAATATAAGCTTGGGTATTCAAAAAATAATTCCATGCATTGAACCCAGGTAACATATTCCAAAAATGTGAAAATTGGTACAAAAAAAACAAGATTAGCAAAACTTTAAAATCAACTTGCTATACTCAAACAAATATTGCATTAATGCAGACCACAAAAAAAGCCTCTAGAAATTATTATGAAAAAATTCACAACCAAAGAAAAAAGCCTCTAGAAATCAGTATCTTAAGAATCCACAACAAAAGAAAGAACCATCTAGGGATCATTATCAAAAGAATGCTATCATAAAAATCCGGGCCTTCAAAACCAAAACTCCTGAAAACACTATTACGAGAATAGAGATGCAATATTATGTGGTATGAAAGACAAATTTCGAAGATATAAATTTTCTGATAACGAAATGGATAAATTAAGATGGCATTAAATAATAAAAATAAGAAGCGTCTAAATAATGATGATTATTATCCTAATTATAGTCACACTTTGTATACATTACATTGTAAATACTCATTACCTGCACAAAATAGTGAAGCAAAGGAAAATTATTATAATTATAAACATTATGGAAGCATTATACAGCCCTAAAATAGTTAACGATTTATTGCAAACAAGTATGAACGGGGTAGATTTGGAGAACACAACATATCAGATACTGTA